TATATATATCTTATTTGTGCCTCTAATGTTGAATTATACATTATCTCTCTATACCAAATTCTTTCTATGGCTCGTTATGGATTTCTTATTGACTATAATCATTTTTTCCAAAAGTCTAAAATGAAAATTTTATGTTTAAAAATTGAAATATGTTCAAATCAAAAAGATAAGAATTGTTCAAATTAAATAAATTTGATTGAAAGAAAATTTATGGTTTTGGGATTACGAATGGAAGGAAAAAAATCATTTAGGATGTAATGACAGCAGCGGAGACAACAGTGGTTGTAAGGAGGGCTAATTTCATAGGTTTGAAAGAGGGCTAGTGACAACTAGTGCTAAAAGGAGGGATGACAATGGATGGGTTGCATGGAGGGCGTCGCCATCTGTTGTAAAGAACCCAGTGATGAATGTTGAGATGACCCACAACATCATTAGAGGAGGGTGGCAGGGGAATGAAGAGAAGGTTGACAATTTCTTTTGATTGGGTAATAGACCTAGAAGTTTGTGTGAGTTAAATGAGGGTGCATGAGTGGACATGAAATGTATTGAACATTTTTTAAACAACCCTAATCTATATCGTGTGTCTCATGTGCACTGAGGCGATGCTTGGATTGAGGCACGCCTCAATAAATGTGTTGTGTACACTTAACTTTGTATCAATGAGGCATAAGCCTAATTGTGATTTTTCAAAGAAATGCATCGAGGTGTGCCTCAACGCACACTTCTTATTGCTTTATTTGAAGCATTGATCATAGGAAAAGCCTCAATGTGCGCTTTGTATTGCTTGATTTTAAACATTGATCATAGGAGAAAGGAATAGCTAATAGGATGTATCATAATATTGAAACATCTAAGGATTCAGATAGAGAGAAATAATCCAAATCTACAATTTGAGAGTTAGGGGAACTGAAAGGGCACAACACTAAACTTGTGAGAATGACTAGTCACAGAGGAAAAACACCCGATTGAAATGGAAGCCAACTGCCATAGATAGCAAAATTGGAGCACCGTAATGCAATCAATGAGTGGGAAGATGAACTAACGTTGATTCTCAGAGGCATCGACATTAGATACAAGGATACAATTATGGGTGGAATCCTAGCGCAAGCATAGGACACAAGTCACGAGCGTGCCTCACACGTGCCTTGCATGAGGACATAAGGTCCCTGGAGTTTGTGCCTTATGCACGTGGATACCAAGGCACAAGTAAATGATGCGAGTAGGGTTGTAAACGAATCAAACTTGAGCGAGCTC